ATAAAAGAGGCATGAACTCACCTCCAAACGAGATCCTAGGCTGCGGCGTTATGTATTTCGACATCCGCTTCCTCGAGCGCGCGCCCTCGAAACGCGGTCCCGCGCCGATCGGCTGGCTAGCACGACAAAGTTCGCCGAAACTTTCCATTTAGGGCCGCATGCACTAACATCTCCGCGGGGAGGGGATCGCAGCTTAAAAGAAAGCTTTACATTTCGAAACTCCAGATACCTGGATTTCACGTTGTGTACCTATCCGTAAGTATTCCTACTACCCTTCACTATGAACACGTTGAACAGGAGCGAGAAGCTGTACGAACCGCATTTTCCAGCTTTTGTATGATCCCTGATGATCCCCGACGCCTTTCTTTAAAGTCATTTTTCTTTCTCCGAAGTTAACGAGAAACCTCCAAAGTTGTGCATAATATCTAACCCGACGGTGCTAAGCATGTTGCTGATAAGAACAAATGATGTTTTGAAGTCATGAAATTTTCGATGATCCATAGGTCGAAATTTGAGGTTTACCGAAAAATTCGACTTTTCAAAACTCATTTGTTCTCATCAGCAACATGCTTAGCACTGTTGTGTTAGATGTTCAGTACAACTTTGGAAGGTTTTCGTTAACTTCGAAGAAAGAAAAATGACTTTAAAGAAAGCGCCGGGGATCATTAGGGATCATACAAAAGCTAGAAAATGCGGTTCGTACAGCTTCTCGCTCCTGTTCAACATGTTCATGGTGAAGGTAGGAATACTTACGGATAGGTACACAACGTGAAATCCAGGTATCTGGAGTTTCGAAATATAAAGCTTTCTTTTAAGCTGCAATCCCCTCCCCAGCGGGGAGGTTAGTGCATGCGGCCCTTAGTGTACTTTACGGGAACTTTGTCATCTTTGCCAAAGTTCTCAAGCGCTTTCACCGAATTTTTGGATCCGCGACTCCCTTGAGGTCATAATTCTTGTCATTTCTATACCCCAATGGTGAACACGGTCCTCCGGAACTTTTCCATTTTTCGCATGTTCGCCGGAACTTCCCGCCGTTTGTCTGAGTAAGCGCGCCATTAGAATCCGTAAGGTTCTAGTAAACTCAATGAGTAAACGCTGAATCCAAATAATGAACATGATCATTGCACTTAAAAAATGATTTCCGGCCCCCCCTCCCCCTCTCCTCCTCCTCCTCCCCCTCACTCCTTAGGGCCGCATGCACTAACATCCCCGCTGGGAAGGAGATTGCAGCTCAAAAGAAAGCTTCATATACTGAAGCTTCAGATATCTGGATTTCACGCTGTCTACCTGTTCGTAACTATTCCTACTATCCTTATCTATGAACATGTTGAACAGGAGCGAGAAGGTGTACAAACCGCATTCTCCAGCTTTTGGATGATCCCTGATGATCCACGGCGCTTTTCTTTAGGCTGGGTTCATACTGATTCCCATGTTCTGGAACTGTTCCCGCACAGTTCTCGCACTGTGCTGGAACTGTGCGGGAACAGTTCCAGAACTGTGCTGCATGCGCTGCAGCCGCCCCGCACCGTTCTGAACGGCGGGAGTTGGAGAATTTTGACCGTTCTCAACGGTTTTTCTTCCAGATTTCGCTCATTTTGGCCTTATTCCTCCACCCCGCTTCCCTTTTTTGATCAGCAGAACTTCGAATTCGAAGCGGGGTTGAAGAATGAGCGCTTTTCTGCGCCGTGTATTCGGAAAGTTGGGCTATCGTGCGATTGTTCATTCTGTCTTCGTGTTTTTTGCTCGAAACTACTTCATTTGTTCCAGGAAGCGGCTGCCTAGTTTTCATAGCCATCTGCCACGAATTAGGGAGTAGGAGAAATCCTGAAATTGCATGGGTTGGGACTTGTCTGTTGTTTTTCATAATTTTGGGCGTTCTTAGCCTTGATAGCGTGGCGTGATAGCATAGCGTGCGATGAACGGCGGTCTCAACACGATTCGGGTGACAACTGTGCATGCAATTATCATGTTGTTTATAACAATGTTCCTTGTATAAACCTTACCTTCTCTGGATCTAATAAATGTACAAAATTGCTCTGATGAGAATGTTAACTTGCTATCATTTAATTATGCTAAAAAGAAATAAAGGTGTTGTAAACTAGCATGCTAAGTGTTAACTGTTATCCATTTTTTCCAAAAAGACACACGGCCATCGGGGCGATGCATGATGCACGATTGATAAAGTACAATGCATTTAACGAGGTCAACGCCGGGTAGTGCAGTCACACACCTGCGCGCGAGCGCCAGCGTGGGTGCAGCGTACAGGGCGTAGTCCTTGTTTTAGCTACTCTTCCTGATTTTTTCTTAGCTTGTCTGTTGTCCTGCTTCCAATCTGAGCTTCTTCTGTCTAAGACTCTACTTCGGTACTTTCTGGGATCTCTCAAAGTAACACCGCGCGAATGGAAGATAAAATGGAGGTTTAAGGTCTTTCAAAGAAGATATAATCCAATCATTTTCTTTGAGAACCTTGAGAATGACTGATGCTCTTCCTTATTACAGTCAAAGATGAATATCGTAAGATGTCGTATATCGTACAGGTTGAGAAAACAGTTAATCGTATATTGTTTAAGTTTGAGTGAACAGCGCATTGGCGCTGTTCACTCAAACTTAAACAATATACGATTACGTCCGTTTAGACACGAGCCAATATAATGAATCATGACCAGGGTAAAGCGGGGGGTGCGGCACGCCGTACCGGGGGGGGGGGGGTCGTATTGAGGAGTCAAAAGGGGAGGGGGTCGTAGTTGGGTAATCTGATAATAGCGATAACATGATATTCGTATCATATCCATTATAATAAGCATGTTGATTAACCCCTGTAGACAAAGTGTGAGCGAATTCTGAAGATTCAAAATACTAGGCTACCTAAGAAAAATGGTTAAATTCCAATATGGTTAACTTTGTTTTAAAGGTGAATTAGCTATCCGTTTTTGCACTCAAGACAAAGCACTACTCCTTCTTTATCCACCTCAGGAATCTCGCTTCAGAAGACCTTCAAACTGTGGAATTAGAAGCCAACCAAAATCTAGTTTCTCCCATTTTTCGCTTTTGATCGCTGTGCTTTCACCAAATATTACTCAGAGCTAAGAAGACGGATCAGGCTCAAAACATATGGAATCTGCAAGGTTTAGGCTATCAACTCATATGATTAAAGTTTTTTAAAAACGTCTTTTTGATACAGTTAATGGGGTGCGGCACCCCCCCCCCCTCAAAAGCTGCGGCTGCAGCAGCTTTTGAGGGGGGAGGTGCCGCACCCCATTAACTTACCTTCAAAACGTTCAAACAGCTGCCTTTTTCATGTCATCCTATAGATTCATCCTTACTCTCTCCGTAGTAGCTGTTTCCCCTCGAACCTTTTTCTTTAGAAGGACATACATATGGTTATTGCGAGCCATATGCTGGGAAGTGTGGCCAAAAAATATTGGGTTACGGTGTGCTCGAAAATTGTCAAAACACAAAGCCGCGAGATGCGAGTCTTTGAAATCTGCGAGCTAAAACCTCATCTTGTGATGTGCAATTTTTCGGGCTTCTCTCTTTTTTTCTCGCTTTTCTCTCTCGTTTGTCCGGAATGTAAGCAGTCGTTTGTCAACTCAGCTCGACTGGAACGACGTCTGCCTGTTCATCAAGTGTGATTTTCTTTGTTTCAGTTCTAAAGGGTTACGTGTAGCCATTCCTTACACGTATTTGGAGCTTATCTATGTCCATTGTGCGGAAAGACGTACAAGTGTGAATACAATCTCTTTTTCCGCTGGCGCGAAACATGTCAATACCTCAATGAACTCGTGAGAGTGGAGGAGCGAAAGGTACTACATAGCTTTTTTCCAGTTTACTTTTTTGTTCAGCAAATTTTTTCCGCATAAGCACGATCCATGCATACGTTTTATTGTTGAGCTACATTCGTGCATACGGGGAGGGGAAGGGAAGGGATCCCCGCTGGGGTTCGCTCGATCGATATCCCTGGAATCAAATACCGAATTTGTGGCAGCGAAAGAGTACCGCAAAGAAACGGCTGGCAAGCGTCGGAAAAAACCACAGAAACTGCAAAACTGCACACTCATGAACTCTTCTGTGGGAGAAGTAAGCCATGACATAAATGCGGGAAAGCCTCGAGATCTGCTAAATAAAATCGCACCACTTCGGAAATCAACATTAGCACTACGACAGCACGTAACAAGTATAACAAACCAGTAATAGGGAAAAGAAGCAGACAGCTACGGAGAGAGAGATACAATGGGAGGGCAACGTAATGTCTTTCACCCATTCACTGCAGAGACATCTTGACTTTTATTGTTGAACATCTTTACGCTGAAATGGGCGCATGGGGAAGAGTGAGCAACATTCATGAAAACAGCGAATTTAATGTGCGTAGGAAATATTATTTTCGGTGCGCCGAGCGCAATCACAGCAGGCACGCATACGGTAACGACTAAAGAACTACCGACGACAAAATAAAGACACTAGCTCTCAAAAGATGAGAACGGAGGGAAATTACCACAGAAAAACGGAACGGAAGTGATTTCCCCGCTCGATCCCCTTTGTGCATGAGAAGGTTCACTTCGAGAGACGGTCTTTTCGCACGGGCGGTCTCAAGTGCCACCCTGATTTTGACTTGTCTTAACACGTCACGCACGCCGCAAACGTTTCCTCCCATTGCTTTGCTTAGGGAAGTCGCCGCAAGGGTTTGCGCGCGCGGGGGTGGTCCTGTGCGGAAAGCATCACTGTCGTGCGAATCCCCCTACACCCGTTCACTTCCCCTTCCCACAGGGGATGCCTTCTCCGATATTGTCTTTGTGCATACGGGGGTTCGCATGCGGAGGGAGGGGATCCCCAGCGGGGATCATTTCAATGGTAAAACGCACATCCCCTCCCGGCGGGGATGTACGTGCATACGGGCCTAAGAGTTGAACTTCCTTCTGTTGTTTGTTGATTGGTACCATTGGTACCATGGTTTGTGTTTCTAGAGTTTTAACTATCTCGTTCATTCCTGAGCATGCCAACGCATGATATTCCTCACACTCCTCAAAAAGGTGTTTACCACTTGTTTGTGAAAGGGTGCAGGTCGTATAGCTTTCATTTCAGGGTGAGACTGATCCAAAAGTGGCAAAGGCTTTTTCAAAACTTCAACAGACAGAAGCTTTGTCTAAAGAAATCAACAACGAACTTCTTGAGGTCAGGAAATTCTCCACCTTTTATTGCCTTTTATTTTAGAAATTCGATAAATTACTTTCAGTCATTGCCGCTGCATACAATAATCGAAACTTTCTGTGTGAACACCCTCCAGTTACTTTTCAACACTCATGATATTTATCAATCGGAATGCAACAAGGTGAGTAGACCACGTCTCTGCAGTTCTTTATGAATGAGTTACTTGATTGCAGTTGAACATAGAAATCGTTTCCCAACTTGATAGTCTTGGAGAATCTATCAACACATCGCGAGTTCCGCGACCAGAACCTCGTCCAGAGACGCCGACTGATAGCGTCGCGGACGTAAGACTTTCAAAGGTGTTCTTGGTGTTGGTATCGCTCTTTATGTATTGTTGAATGACTAATCTGTTTGCTGCAGATAAGTTCGCACCGTTCCACGCCCTCTCCTGTCCCCGCTCCTCCTCCGGCAACGCCAGCTTCTTTGGCAGATTCCGCTGCAAACCAACCAAATGCGTCTTTTGATGGCAATCCATTTGAAGAAGATAATGTGGAGGAAGTCTTCGAGAATAAGATCTATCCGGTATGTTGGTTTATCTTGATTTGAAGACATTATGGTTTTTTACGGTTCATCTTTTATCTTTTGTGATTTTATATGGTTTATATTTTATCAAATATCCAATATCACAAAATTCCACCCCGTTTTATATGTGGTAAAGAGTGAGGCTACTCCTTTTCCTGTAATAAAGATAGTTCCACAAACGGGGTGGAATTTTGTAATATTGGATATTCGATAAAAGATAAACCATATAAAATCACAAAAGATAAAAGATGAACCGTAAAGAAGCATAATGTCTTCAAACTCTTCCCTCCAAGAATTGACACAAGCCCAGAGCATACGTTCGGATCAGATGAGGGGGTTTCTCTTACTTTGGCTTTTTGTAAGGACTATCTTCATCAGAGTCAGGTAAGGGAATAAATGTATCTTAATAAGTTGATATTTCTCACATAGACTTCTTTTTCAATAAAAATAAATCCCTCCCATTAAGCGAGTTCAGTCCCGTGCTTTTGTACATTGCCCATGTTTGTCAAAATTGTTTCTACATTGTAGCTGGCAGTTATGTGAGAGTACCCGCTTTTTAGAAGTTAGCGGCAGTGCCTCCTGGCGCCGATAAGGAAGAGGAGAAGAATGCAAACGAAACTCCGAAAAAGGTCGAGGATCCAACAAACTCATTCGAGGGGAATACAGATGAAGAACAACACGAACAAGTACCCATTGAGGCACCTCCAACAGACCATGCTTTAGCGGGAGTTACTAGGGAAGCTGGTAAGGTTACCATAGCTTTGTCAGCTCAATCTGTGCTTTTTATCGCTGATAGGTGCTTTACCTTGTGAGGACAACTCACGAGTACAAAGCGGTAGACACTGATGAGTTGTCTTTTGGTCCGGGAGACGATCTGAAGGTATAAAAATATCTAAGTGACTTTTCTTCAGTTACCGGCGCAGCGTCTTATGTTAGTAGAGCGGTTAGAAGCCAATAGTTCTGTGATTTCCAATATCTAGGTTATCGCAGAATTTTTTCAATGTTTTTGTTGCTTAATATGAGACACTACGTCATAATTTTGTTTTAAGGTTCTGGAGTCGAAACATGAAGATCAAGTTGATGAGGGTTGGCAGCTGAGCGAAAAAGCTGACGGCACTCGAGGCGTGTTCCCTGAAAATTTCACCAGAAGGTTCGACTAAATGCTTTCGGCGTTGCTTATGGGGTGGAGGGAGGGGAAGGGGGGGGGGGGTAGGGAATGGGGAGGGGGGTCGTGCCGAGGTCCGGCCCAATGGGGAGTCGTATCCGACGGTCGTGTGCCACATCCCCCGCTTTACCCTGATCATGACATCCGGAATCGGCCATCCGATGAAGGCTTGGATAAAATGAAAGATGTCATAAGGAAAAACGCTCAAAGATTTGATACCTCCGTCCTATGCTGCGAAAAAAGTCATGTCCGGTATCAAGAAAGATCGCATGTGAGCATAGAAGCAAGAAAAATGGCAATCCTCTGCTAAAAAAAACAGAAAATCACGAGTTACAATAATAAAAACAAGGCCCTCGATGTTGTGCGCAGCATAGTCCCAGCACGCTACGCGTACGGTAACGCTCGCGCGTAGATGTGACTGCATTACGCGGCGCTGGCCTCGTTAAAGCATTGTACATCGCTTTGGCAGTTACCAGATTATATTATAGTAAGATTCGTCGAGACATGCTTGTAAGAGTGATAAAGACAAAGCAGAAAGGTTTGCCGGATTCTCTGAAAGTCTACAAGCTCAAAAGCTGATTGTTCACATTTGTCAAACGCTAAAATTTATTATCACGACATTACCACTGGTACAGTTTATCATATTTTAAGGTGCCTTCCGCTTAGGAGGTGCACATCCTCCAACCAACTACCATTTATATTTCTTCGTAAAGCATCTCTCGGTATAGTTCCAGTTTTGGCGCTACTGTTTCAAAGATTTCTTTTTCGGAAAGGGACCCGTTCACTCTGGCGTACTGCAATTGTAAGCCAATATTTAAAAAAGGCTGCAAAGCCGACGCCGGAAATTATAAACCGATCTGTTTGACATCCTCTGTAAGCAAAGTCTTAGAAGGAATAATCAATAAACGAATTTGCTCGTACCTTGAAAGAAACAGCAGATCCATCATGCGCAGCACGGTTTTCTTCCCAAAAGCTACACTGCCGGCTATTTCGTCTACGTTGTCTATGTGGCGAAAAGCGACTGATGGCAGAAGTTTCGCTACAGTTTGCTATCTATTATGGATTGTAAGAAAGCCATTGAACTCTGCGCCTTTGACCTTACTCTTTGACTAAGAGCGTGGCATTCAGCGTGGCATTTGCCTGCTATGGTTTTTGCAATCTTTTCTACTCAACCGTGCGCAAAAGATGCAAGTCAACGAACCCTTCTCTTCCATACGCCGAATAACGAGTGGTGTACCGCAGGGAACTTGCTTAAGTACTGTGATTTTTTGCTCTCTATCAATGATTTACCGACATGCCTTCCTCCGGAATATATTCTGCTCGATTTATGCTGACGATACCAAGCTGTCAAGCTCTTTTGCTACAGTTCCCCTTTTCTGATCCAGGGCGCCTCGGATCCGTAGAGGGATGGTTCAAAAGGTGGGAGCTCGACATTTCTATTGAAAAATTTTTTTCATTATGCCAGTCGGAGCTAGACACTCCCAAAGACAAGTCAATACAGAATTAGTGTCAGAGAAAGATTGGGGCTTTTGCGATTTCAACGACATGCAAACGTGGCCCCCTCGGACGCGCATTCGCTCAAATGTGAGGCCAAATGAAATACGAACGAGAAATATTGACGCATGCCTTGGGGGAGAGCTTCGCACACCTTTGGATTGCCTGTGGCGTAATGCGTATTTTGCCACAGGGCCTTCTGCCTGTGGCAAAATACGCATGCTGCTACACTGAAAGTCCTGAAAGCCCGCAGCGATTCTGCTTCGCAGAAATCGCGGCAACTGTTACACTAGCCAAATATAAATTGTAACCTTTGGGAAACGCCTGTCATAGCCTTTTTGAGCGTTCTAAAATGGATTTTCGGCTTCAACGTCGCTAACCCAAGTTAGCGTCTTTCTTGGTAGTTAAGTTTTTGCCCGGACACAGCCTTCAATGAGTAAACACCTAAACAACAACGTAAACTTACACTCGAAAGTTTCAGAAACAGAGCATAACGAGTGCGCCCGCAATATTCTATATCTCCGCGACTGCCATCTACTACCGTTTTCGGGAAAGAAATTAAAATAAGTAATGATATAACCGTAGCGACCCGTTACAACAATAAATGTAATGAGCTCTCGAATTTCAATGTTGGCCGTACCTTTCGTACCGAGGGTGTGCTGCTGTTATAATTTGAGAGTTGACTACCAAATTTCCCGCTATACTTCAGATATTATTAGGTGGGTCCGAAAGTTCGTGCCGTTCTTCAGACCTGTTCTAAAATCATTCAAAATGAAGACGGACAAATCGTTCATAACCTATCCGATGCAGAATTTCTTCCTCTTTAAGGCTATGTTTCCATTGTGACTGCATTGACGAGCGCTGAGATAATTGCCGAGAACTAGAACCCTTTATTTTTACCATATCTGAATTTCGCTAATTTTCAGAACTTTCATTTTATTTTACTTTTGAAGGTGCTCTAATAACCACCTGATAAGACAAACCTTTCGCAAATGGATGCAATTTTTTTGCATTTTTTCAGCTTCCTCTTAAGAATTTTGCTAAATTAAGTGAATTTTGAAAAGTCGCGTAACACATAATTGCACCAAGTACTGCAAAGTCCTCAAAACATTGAAGTTCTAGATGGATCGAAGTTTTCTAAGAGATCTTGGTAGCATTCGATGGAGAATTTCATTCTCTTTCTGATGGTCATAAAATTGTTGCAAAACATTTGACGAGCTTTCAGAAAATAACAAAAATCTGCGACCTATGCTTTTTGAGATAGTCAAGTTTCACAATTTTTCAAAACTTTCATATCAATCCTTGCAAGGAGATCAAGTAACGACTCGATAGAGCAAACCTCATAGATTACAGCACAACTTTTTTCACTTTTTAAAGCTCGCGATAGCTTTTGAAAAAAAATTTTAACAAAGCAATCGGAATTTGGCAGGCCTACATTAGCCACAATCGCATCAAACATCATAATTATTCGGAATTTGAGACTACCAAGATGGTACTATGAGCACTAATTTTACAAAGCAAATGAGAGTTTACGGATTCGAAATATCAAATTTCGTGTTTTACGGGCACAGCCTGAGGCTCATTGATAAAATAAGTTATGAGGATTTTAGTTCTAAAGACTGAACGAATCGGAAACAAAAAGCATCCATTAGAAAGAGGAGAACAAGCTGCATCGAATGACACCCGAGCTGCTCGTCGTTTGATGTTCTACGAGGATCTAGCTGTCCAAGTATGGAAAGCAGTAGCATCAGTTGCAAGCGGTAGCATCAGTTGCAATTCTGTTAAAAATGAATGACAAGCGTGGAAAGGAGAAAAAGATTGTTTTGCATCCTGTAAGGTTTGCTTTCTAGATAAGTTACTTTCTCTTCTTCGGAGAGTTGATATAAAAGTTTAGAAAAATCGCGAAACTTGACCATCTCAAAAGCATAGGTCGCAGATTTTGGTTATTTTCTGAAAGCTCATTGAGTGTTTTGCAGCATTTTCATAACCATTAGAAAGAGAAGGAAATGCTGTTTTGACTGCTGCCAAGATCTCTCAGAAGGCTTTGTTCCATCAAATGTGGCGCCCGTTTGAAAAAAGTGGCGGTCGCAGGATTTCGGACCGGGGGGGGGGGGGGGCGCGACACGCACTCCGAAAAAATTTTTGGGGTGCTTCTCAAAATTTTTGCGGAAGACTATGTTAACTTTGACCATTTTAAGTTAGGTCGCCAGAAATCGGGAACGCTGCAGAAAAATCTGAAATCGTCAGTACTTATGTTTTTTGGCCTACCCTTTGCATCTGTGAAAATTTTGTGCTGTTTGGACGTCTCTGTGAGAAGTTATGAATATCGAGTTTACTATGGAAAACGCCAAAATTAATTAATTTGTCGATTTTCGCGAAATTCATGACTTCTTAAAGAGACGTCCAAACAGCACAAATCCTTCACAATTGAAAAGAGTAAACCAAAAAAACATATGTACTGATAATTTCGGATTTATCTGCAGCATTCAACATGGCCAAAGTTAACATGGTCTTAGTTTTCCATTTTTATCTCTGCACCCAGTGTGAAACAGAAGCTAAACAAAACAGCGATTGAAAGCCGGAGACCTAATCTTTCTAATAAAATCAAAGCAAGCAAATCCGTTGAAATCTCGCGAAGCTACGAATTTTTGAAAATGAAACGACAGAACTTTTGGTTCAACCTAATATTAGGGTGAACCAAAAGTGTTGTTGCACCATTTTCAAAAAATCATAACTTCATTCCGTCACAACGATTTGGCGCATTTCAAATTTTAGTACAAGTAGTTATGATTTTTTGAAAAAAAAATGCTGGAAAATCAATTGCCTGAGAATTCTTGAAAAATCGATTTTTCGGCATTTTTTTCAAAAAATCATAACTTTTAAAAGAAGAGCTCGATCAGACAAACTTGACTCACTAATAAAATATAAGAAAACTTAGGATGATGGTTGTTCTGGATTTTATCGCACAGTTTCTAGATTTTTAGGATTTTTGCTTACCTTTGGAAACTACATGCTTTATGCTTTCAGACAAAGTTGAAAAGCGCCAAATCGTCGTGACGGAAAGAAGTTATGATTTTTTGAAAATGGTGCGACAGTACTTTCGGTTCAACCTAATATATTAGGTTGGTGCAAAAGTTCTGTCGTTTCATTTTCAAAAATTTGTAACTTCGCGAGATTTCAACGGATTTGCTTGCTTGCAATTTTATTAAAAAGATTAGGTCTTCCGCTTTCAATCGCTGTTTTGTGAAGCTTTTGTTTCACACTGAGTGCAGAGATAAAAATGGGAAACTAAGACCATGTAAACTTTGACCATTTTAAGTTAGGTCACCAAAAATCTGGAATGCTGCAGAAAAATCTGAAATCGTCAGTACATATGTTTGTTGGCCTATTCTTTGCATCTGTGAAAAACTTGTGCTGTTTGGACGTCTCTGTGAGAAGTTATGAATATCGAGTGCACTATGGAAAATGCCAAAATTAATTAATTTGTTAATTTTCGCGCAA